TTACTTTGATGTATAGAAATGTGTGTATACACACACATGTATCAGACAAAAGGGGGGTAATGTAGCACTCATGTAAACCAACTTAGCTGCCACAACTAATTTCCCCTTTGTCACCATCTACCTGACCTTTTCCTCCACCATAATCAACCCCAGTCTAATGATTTTCGCTAGTTCTATTCAGTACTTTGGGTCCCACCATAATTTATATCATATCTCATACCCTTCCTCTCAATCCCTTATTATCTCCTCCCATTATTCCCTATAAATTCCACGGTAACCATGCTGGAACACCTAAATTCAACAAATGTTAAGTGAACCAACAGAACAGCATAGTTATAACAAAATAAGGAAATTTGGTTTTGCCATCTTATAATCTATCTATCAAAAGTAAATATTCTTCCTGTTGGACCCAAGTGTAATGAGGCCAGGGCCTCAGGTACTTTGTTCCCTTTGGGGAGAGTATCCCCAGTATCCACCAAGGCTCCTTGGAAGAGTTTTCTCCCACTTAAATCCTTAATATATAGAAATATCCATATAAAGAGTTTATTTCTGCCATGGAGTTCATTGTAGCAGGATCTGTCCTATACCGATTGTGTATTTATCTTTAAAAGAAACAGACAGAATGGCATGACACAGGGCTTGCTATCATTATATAAAACAAGTCCAGCTGATGGCCAGCATATACAAACACTGTAATCCCTCTGTGCCTCTGCCCCAGATGGCAGCAGTCGAGCCACCAAGCAGAACCAGCTCTTGTTGGAGACCAGTGAGCCAGCTGTCCAGGACCAGCCAGGGCTCCTGTGATAAGATCTTTCCTTGTTTCAAAGGCTTCTTTACAGTTCTAATATAGACTTGTTATGTTTTTATGATCCTGGAAAACATCCAAAATGATTAGCCTACCCCTTTCTAACACATGTATCCATCGGCAATAAATGTACGTACTTTCAACTAATAGAGAACTTTTGAGTCCATCTAATGAATGAATGTCCTATGGATTAACATTTCCAAAGGCAGGCACTATTATCTTAAGAATTTACGGAGACACATTTGCCACACTGTCCCAAGGAAAAATAAGCAGGTTTAAAAGGATACTGCTGTTGTTTTAACCCATGTGTACAAAATTGACAGATAGAAGATTGGAAATGCTTAGCCCAAATGATAACAGTGGTTGTTCCCGAATATGGGCAACAGGAAATTTTGCTTTATCTGTGTTATTCTCTGTTACCAACTTTTTCTTCACTGAACATGTTACTATTGTAATTAAGAAAAAATTTTAAATAACTTAAAAGTCTATTAGAAGCAAAAAATATGAAGTTTTCTCCCTTTATTTCTGTATTCCTGCTTAGCGCTTTTAAAGGCAATACAAAACAGAATGACTAAGTCCTAGCAAAGTTATAATAAACTGGTACCCTGCCATGTGGTATAGATTTACCTAAAACACAGAGGAACATTCATACTGCTCCTCTTTCTGAGCCTGGCACTATGTACAAGAAATTACTGGACTCCAGCAGCACATGTTTTCAGACACGGTGACATCAGAGGCCTTTTTTTAAAGTTAGATTTTAACTGGATTTAAAAAAATGAGAGGAATTTCCTGGGTTTTATCAGGGCAATTTCCCAACAGATTTTTGCCCCCACTTCTCCTCTTAATACAAGGATTAAAGCCACTTAGCAAATTAGAGTGTATACTCGCCACTTAAAATGCTATTAAGAACATGTAAATTAGGAGATCTTTAAAAAGCAATACACATCAACAAAAGGCTGAGTTCTTGCTCAGAAGGAGTTGTTTTTAACAGTTTCCTATGAGGTCAGTCAAAAAATATCAAACATCTGAGAGCGTATCTAAGTGCAGGAGGGACCTACTTTCAGACCACACGGAGCTACAGAGAGACAGAGAGCACATAGCTACATTCTATAGAGAAAGAGCCTTTTTTTGTTTTGTTATCATATGACAAGTAGCACTGTCAAGTTTTCACTACGACTTCATTAAAATACCAAGCCATACACACACACACAATTTAACACTGCACGAGGAGGACAGGGACATATTTTTCAGAGCTGCAAAATGGCATCTGCAGAATGTCTCAAAGGAATGACAAAGGCACTGCTTTAGCCCTAACAAAGAGAACAATGTTTCCACTAAGACACTACAGGACTATTGCATTTCAATGGGGGGAGAGGGAGAGAGCAGTAAAAATTAACACAAAACAGAACTCAACGTGTAGAATGACAGTCTGTAGGGGAAAATTAAAGGAACTATTGAGGACACGAGTTTCACTCATTATAGGACATAAAATTAAAAGAGTGCTTAACATTTTAAAAACTGGGTAATTTCAAATATTGAACTTGAAAAGAAAAATTATAACTAAAACATTCAAAAATTACTTATCAATCGACTCAATTAAGTTTTTTTAGATTCATAAACACTGCGCTTCTATTAATTCATGTTGTTTAAAACACAGCTTATAAACAACCTATGCCAGCATTATGCTAAGCAATCTACATATCTCATTTCATTTAGTTTCTCATGATCACTTCATACAAAAAATGTACTATCAATGCTTCCATTTTACAGATAAGAAAACCGAGGCTTACAGATATAAAATGGCTCTGTATCAGGCAGATCTAAGTTTCAATTCCAACTCTTTCACCTCCTAGCTTTGAGACTTCGTCTTTCTTTCCAAGATGCTTTTACTCTGAATTTCAAGACTATCGACATCAAATAATGTTCACAAGAATTAGACAAACGATTGTCAAAAATAAGGCAACAGCTTTCCTAAAACAATAAATTGAAATGGAAATAGAGGCTTGATAAATTAAGAGTGGAGGGGAAATTGGGATATACTTACTCTTAATCAAATAACATTTTCAAAACACTGTTAAGACAAAGCTTTAAAATGCCTTCAAAAAAAGAGAGAGGGGAGTGCGAAGAGACAGAGTTAATTACAAAATAAATATCAGAACACACCGGATGGAGAAAAATCAAAATCAGGACCTTAAGCTGATTATTCCCTACTTTGTATCTGAAGTGTATGTGCTTAGCTATCTTCAGTGGATAGTCACCTAAAAGACAATTTGATGACTTTTTGTATTGTGAGAAAAAAGCTTCAGTTAAGATTACAGGAGATTCAGTTAAGATTAAGTTAAACAGGAGATCCTGATTAAAGTAACACCAGTAAATAAGCTACCAATAGGTAAATTTTTCTCATAGTTATTTGTTTCACATAAATTGTTAGTCCTTCTTTGAATAACCACCCAACTTATCTTCTAAACTCCAGTTCTGATCACATCGTTCATCTGTTTGGAAAACCTTAGCAACTGAGGAAAGAAAACCCAATTTTTCCACCTGAAATGCAGAGTCTTCCAGGCTCTGGCCAGACCATCTTAGAATTTCTAGCCTTTCTGCTCACTACTGGCCATGATGAATTCGATGCCGAGGATGCCGAGGAGGGGGGAAGGCCACTCAGGCCACCAGGTTCACTCCTGCAGTTTCTTCTCAAAAGTGAGCCAGCCAAGTAGCACACCCATCATCACTACCATCATCAGACAAAATCCAGTGATAAACTACGATCTTGCCCAACATGTTCCAGCCACTCTTGGCCCTGTGCTAGCCTTCCCTCCTCCAGATGCCCACCGCATTCCCTGTGTGCCTTCCAGAGCTCAGCAGTTTTCTTCAGCACAGGCCCCAGGTTCCCATCTTACCCGCTCTACTGAACAAGTCTCTCTCACTCATCCATCCCTGCATCCTCAACAGCAAAAAACACATCCCTGTGCACAAGTTATTCTCAGCGTATTTGGCTAGAAATAAATGAGGGTAGAAGAAAACACCTTTAAGAAAAGAAATTCAGTGCACCTATTTTTTTAAACAGTTATAATCTCATTTTTCTATTACCCAAGATAATCACCTTAATGATTTGATAATGTAAGTATAATACTTAATTAAATTGCCCTCTAATGGAACAAATATCATTTTGGCACATTTATAATGAGAAATCTCATGCCATCTTTTAAGATTCATATTATAAAAATGCAAGGAGTGTGGGATATACTATCTTCACCCTACATGACTCTTTTTCATGGGTTAAGACTCAACTAAAGAATCATTATCTTTAAAAAGGTATTAAATTCTAAGAAAAGTGACAAGAAAATAGAAATGGCTCTGAAACAACTCCTACAATATATGTCATAGTCCTCCTGAATCACATCACTTTAGATTTGGGAGGAATCTGAAAAAATAATTTAGCCCATCCTTTATACTAGAGATACTTAAGACTAAGAAATTTTAAACTGAGCTAAGTGACTGAGGGATCATTTTTTAGACTATCTGCCAGATACTTCTTATTTGCGTTAACGTTTTAAATCAACCAGGTGATAAGCTCATGTTTCTAAATGAATTTGCCCATTTTTCTAAACACACTTGACTCTCAGTCTCTTCTTTTCCCGATGCACCTCACTGTGCTGAGCTTCTGATTCCCTAAAGGTGTAAAACAGTATGAAAATGTAAAATAGCAGCTGGTTTGTTTCGTTTGGTTTTGTTTTTAATTATGGGTATTACTATAATCTCTTCTTTGTGCATAGCATGTATCACACACAGCAGAAAGCAGAGACAAGGAAAAGTGAAGCACCTGTCTCAGAAAGCAGTAGCTGTGGCTATCAGAACTGAGGCATAAGAAATTCACTATTCTATTTTTCTGGAACATCAAATATGATTCTGTAACCGTTACACAGAAGTTTTAGGATTATCTATATAAATACAATATAAGCCTGTCTTCCAGGAAACCTGGCCAACACAAATACCAAAAACCCAAATCTGGACCATGTAAGCTCTGCGGCTGGTTCCTCACTGGCCCTCACCCCCATTTACTTTTGCTGCATAACAGCACCCTGTGAGATAGAATTCACTGTTTTTCATTTTCTTCTAGGATCAACTTGCAAATAACGTAAAAACCACTATCTTCATGCAGTCAAAACAGAGCATCCAAAGAAAAACACCAACTCACATTTACTGGTAATGAATTCACCAAGCAATCACAGATCTCCTCAAAATTCACTCCTGCAGCCTAGGTTGGAGATAGCTGCTACCACCTTGCTTGTTGGCACTGAAAAATCCAAGGACGCCTGGATTAGGATAAACGCCTTAAGTAGCAATGCTGACACAATTCAGTTCCTAACTCGTATGTCAGAGGTGGCCCAGCCCTGGATCAGAAAGTAATGCGATCCATACTGGAACCGGACAGTGAACATAAATATCTCTAAGAAGCAGAGTGCCTTTTCCAATTGTAAAAGTATTCCCCAAATTAATTTACTCTTTTCGCTGAACCAAACAGAAACAGGTAGAAAATGATTCTACACAGCCTAGAGAATATGCATATCCATTATTACATAAATAAAATGAATTTTAAAAAGACTTAAGATAAATGAGATCACACTCTAGCAACACATGAAACTTTCTGCACAAATACGTCACGCCTATGCACTTCTTTTTTAAGAGAAAAGAGCATATGTGTATGCCCACACACAGAGACCACACAAGTGTGCTTGGTCCACAAAGTGGGGGTGTGTGGCTGCTCTCCTGTGAGGCTCCTGGAATCTGTCTCCTTTGGCATCACATCTACATCCTGACACTTTCCCACAGTGAACAAGTTGGGAGATAGAGAGGGTTCCAAGGCCTATTCTATGGCAAGCGGCTTACAGAAAGATGGAGGAAAAAATCAAGTAGTTGATCAAAAAGAAGATTCTTTATATTATACTGAACAAGCTTCCTGATACAACACGAGAGAACAAATTAAGTATAGCATTATGAGAAACAGAGCATTGCCAGAAAAAAGAAAAAAAAGAATTTTCTTAATTGTTTCTTCCCTCTTTAGTCACTCAAGCTATTTCCGTCATATTTCTCCAACACTTAAGCTGTCATCTCTAGTGGAGTTCCCCCACCCACTCCAATGATTTGAAAAACTTCTGGAAGAGAACCAAAAGCATAATCAACTTTGCCAAATGACATTCAGATTTGGTCCCCACCCTAGCATTTGGCTACTTATCCTTACTTCTTCATGGTGTTTTCATTCTTTCTCCTTTTCCTTCTTCTCCTACCTACAAATACACACAAGCAATTATTCCTTTTCTTTTCCACTCCTTACTCTTCATATTTTCAACACTAAGTTTCTTCATTTCCCTGATTTCACCTTCAGTTCTTCCCTCAAGATGCAGAAAGCCAAGAAATGCACAACACTGTCAGTAAGTCTTCACGATGCATAATTTAGTATACTGAAGATTTCTTGTGGGGAAGATTTTTCCAAGAAAAACAGAAACTGACAATTCCCCATCACCTATTTTCCAAGTGTTCCTCCCATCTCACCGAAGTCAATCAGAGGTGAGGGTGAGGCTGCGACTCTGTGTGCCAGTACCTTGTCTGGATCCACACAACAGCCTCAAAGAGGACATGTAAAATACCCACTGACCAAAATGAAAAATGAGCAAATGATGCTAGACTTCCCCTTCCTGCAGAGCTATCCCCACAATCAGTGGTGCCAGCACCACTGTCAAATCAGAGAGGGTGAGGAAGAGGCCATGTTCCTTTATTTGCCCTAAACACTCTCAGAGACTTTTGAACAAGTCACAGTACTACTAGTGAGAATCTACAAAGTGTGCTCTTAGTACTATGGAGACAAGCAAAGCGGAGGGGGAGAGGCAGAGAGGAAGGCAGAAGAATGACAACATTCTTTCCTTGAGACGCTGATATCCAGACTGTTAACACACAACCCCAAAGAAAGTGAACATTCATAAAACGTTCAAATTTCAAGACAACAGTAGAAGAAATGCCGTAAGGCTATATGAGTAATTGCCAAAGAAATTACACAGATATGAATTCCTACAGGATTCAGCAAAATATGGCAAATATATTCCAGAGTGGAAGAAAGTTGGCATATGAGATAATTAACAGTTTGGCAAAACCACTAAAAAGCTTTATTTGATTTATCGGTTTAAACATGGCAGGAAGAGAGAAACTTCAAATATGCTTATGCTAAATGTAAAACATACATTTTAACTTCCATTCTTTTCAGGCTTACATCAAACAACCCTGAAAGAGAAGCAATCCAGCCATATCATAATGGTTTTCAAACTTTTCCAAATCACTTGGGGCAAATTAATTTAACTACACAAGTGTGTTTGGATAGCCTCAATGTGTCACCTTTTTTCATACTCAAAGTTACAGTTAGATGGATTTAACTCTTCTGAGGCAATAAGCTCTAATTTATCTTTGTGAAGTGTAATACTTCACAAATTCTCCCCAGTGAACAACGTAATATAGACTGAATGGTATAGTTAAAAGTATACTGAAGTGAAGCCAGTTCTAACTCCAGCTCTGAAAGTAGTAACTTTGAGAAAGTCACTTAACTTCCCTTTACTAAATTTTCTCATCGATTAAATAACAGGTAGATTATTTATCTCTTAACATGCCTCAAAATCCTAAAAGTATACCTTTTTAAAGAGTTACTTAGTATGGCAAACTATACACAGGTTGAAAACAGACATCAAAAGCAAACACATTGTGAAGTGTATACAAATTTGCTCAAGTATTTATTCTATAAGACATAAATGTAGGATCCAAGGATAAAAACAACAAAATATTAAATAATTATGTCTGAAAGTGAGAATAGGCTGGCTTTTATTATGTCTCTCTCTATTCCAAATTTTATTCCACAAACATATAAATTCACTGTTATCCCTTGAAATCAAGTTTGACATGAGGAAATCAGAGCTTGTCAGCCTCTACAAAATATGCTGGAAATCAGAGTACACTTAGAAACAGTATAGTCCAGTCTTCAAGGAGGGGGAAAAGAGGGGAGAAAGCCCCTCAACCTACTTTTTCCAAGGCTACTTTTCTCATCTAGTCTCTATCCCCTCCTCCAGCCCCCACCCTCCCCCGCAAAAATCTCCTGGGAGTGAATGAACACAAGTAACCTAAAACTGGAATTTCTGGGACTGTGTGGTTTTCAAACAGCACTGTATTTTCATCTCCCTACCTCTGCGCACACTCCCAGAATTGAATTTCATACTTATTTTCGCAACAAAACCTCATAGTAGTGCTTAGACGTCCTCTAAAAAGAAAGGGGGGAAGAAGCAAAGGCTTTTTTTGGCGGGGGTGGCGGGGGGGCGGAGATTTGGCACCTGTGGAGATGATGTCATTACCAGCCATGGCTCTCAACTGCCTCTGGAATGCAGCCGTGGCTAGAATCCCTGAGCCCACCCAACGCTGTTTAACACAAAATACAGTCCTTCTGGCCCTAGAAAGCCTCACTCACACTCTTGACTATACTTGACTGTACTTAGGAAGCCCTATATTCACAGCTTTTCAGCTTTAAACATTTTTGTAGAGCACAGCATCAAATACTGTCCTCGGAAGGCCAAACTTTGGCGGCTCCTACCTTTACGTCTGGCAGACTTGTGGGGGACTAACTCTGCACACCTGTCTGCAGGCAGTCCCCTAACTCATGATAGGCCCGATTTTGAGTCACTGGCTTAAAAAAAAAAAAAAAAAAAAAGGATAAATGAGGACTTGGCTGAGGAAGGGACGGTCACAGTAGGGGAATGAATGAGACAAGGATGACAAAGTGAGGTTGGGGGTATGAGCCGCAATCCTCATTCTGTAAGATGAAGCTAAGAAAACAGAATGCCTGGCTCTCCGTACAGATAAAATAATGTAGATAGAATGACAGTTTCTGGCAAAGTAAGCACTAAGGAAATGTTCATTATAATTCTTTTTCCCCACAGAAGCCATCATTAAAGGGAATACTGACTCCCAACCATACTAAGAAGGTCCAATTAACCTCTAATGCACCTCTAAGTATCTGAAAATTTAACTGCAAATTTTAACGCTTCTAAGGAAGACACACAAAAACTAAAACCCATTTGCTCCCCAGCGGAGTGAGTGGGAATTGACCCTTTCTGTCACCCTCCGTTCATATTAGCCCAATGAGAAGCCCTACCCTACCGTTCCTCCACAAAGGCCTCCCTAAGAGATGGGGTGCCTGACAAGGGGGGAGGGTGGGAACTCTGGGGGAATGGGGTGAAGGGCTACAAGAACTTCCTAACTCCCCGCTCCACAATGCCCTGCCACCTTTCCCTTCCTTTTTAAGAGCCCCAGAATGTAGCTTCCTACTTCCTTCCCACTGCCAACCCCTGACTAATATGGTTCGGGACGAAGGGAAACTAGACTCTCAAGATTTTACTATGCGTAATAGTAGGAAGGTGGGTCCAGATCCAATTTTTGTTTTTACTTCTAAAGGCATGGTCAAAATCACACTAGGATGCTATTTTTTTGTTTGTTTTTAATAAATCACACTCCAGTGCTATTTTTTTTTGTTGTTGTTTTTAACAAATCATCAAGGGAGCAAAACAAGGGAGAGGCTAGAACTAATATCTCATAGTTCCCAAAACTGTGTCTGTCTACGTGATCTTTTACAGAGCTTTGTTGCCCTCACAACCCTCTAAAATTTAATTTCCCATTTTCTATTGCTAAATATGTATTTTGCAGTCAACCTCTAACTGTCTAAGTTGCAAAGAGCTCTTTTCCTATGACTCAAAAGTACCCTCTCCTAAGTGCCCAACTTTTACAGAATCACACACTCTTAGCCATGACCCAGACTCTGGCATTATTCCAAGTTACTTATTTCCCCTGGTCTGACAGTGAAGCAGCAGGGACACAATGCTGAGCCAGAAGCTCAACCAATATTTGGGCCATATGGGCCATACTTTTCTTCACCACCCCACATTGTTTAACATCTTTCTAGGGAAGTGGGAGCTGAATCCCAAACCTTCACGTGTTCAATGCATCCTAAACAAAATCGTTTTTATCACCTGTACTCTTACTCCTTTTCCATAAGGCACAGAGCAGAGGAGTGTGTATAAGTGGGGGGAGGGGGCGGGGGGGGGAGAGTGTCGGAGAGAGAGAATGTTAGTTTGCTCCTACTTAAAAAGCAAATCTCAGTGAGCTTGTCCTCCTCACCATCTCAGTCATCCATTCCCATGGTCATACCCCAAGCAATGGCTTTCAAATTTTTCCAACTGTGTTTCAGAGCAAAATATTTACATCCCAACG